CAAAAGTGATGTAAACTTGTTTTCATACTCTGTAACTGTCATACTTCCTTGCTTTAACCCATCAAACTCCTTCTTTAGTTCCCTCCGCTTAGGCGCTGGAAAGTACTTCTCATAATACAACTTTTTGAATGTAGCATATGTCATAGTATCCAGATTATGGGTGTGAAAAACGGTTTTCCACCAAATCTTAGCATCGCCCACAAAATTGTAAGTAGCCAATGTAATCTTCAACTTGTCCGTTGCCAAATTCATGGCATTAATATGCTTCTCCACCCTATCCATGAAACTATCCGCAACAAGCGAATCTGGACCGCCCTCAAACAGAGTTGGCATCAATTTCACAAACTTTGCAATGTGGTAAAGAGTATCATCTAACTCATTTTTCTTTGGAGGTGGTGGTGGTGGTGTCGGTGGTGGCACAAACTGTGACGATGACGCACCTGTCAGTTGATATGCATCAAAAATAGCCTCCTGAACAGCTAACCTCAACTGCTCCCTATTTATCTAAAAAGGTGGGTTAACGGTCCCCCTCGCTTGTCCCTCTCTTGGTGGGACCAAATCACGCAATAAGATATCTTCCTCAACTTGCTCTTGATCCCTTTCCACGGGATTGGAGCTAGAACTTTCCCCGGGATTCCTTCGTGTTGCCATGAAGCTATAAGAAAAGGAAACGGATCAATTACGATGACACTAAAATACGCACAAGAACGGAGTCCTCACACGAATGACTTGACAAAAATGGAAACACATAAACACCTTCCATACTTCTTCCATACTTTCAAAATACCCAACTAAGGATAAACATAATCATAATAATATACAACAACATTAACCACTTAACACGTAATGATATAAGCATTTAAACAATTAAGCATGCCTTTCAAATAATTAAATACTTAACACATAAACATATAAGCATGCAATCACGTAAGCAATTAAACAAGTAAGCAAATAACTCAACTCCCCATGCAATCCTAGGTAGGCCTCTACTCGTCGTCCTAATGGTATTCGAACCATCGCTCTGATACCAAATTTGTAACGACTCGAATAAATACCAAAATAATAATAAAAATCTATAAAAATTTCGACATGACTTCCGCAGAAAATGTCCCTCAACAACCTGTAGAAATACAAAAATAAATGCAATGGCCTCACTGGGCTTTAAATCTAACTTATCATGTCCCAACGCACAATTCAAATATTATACTACATTCCCAAAATGGTTACATACATATAAAAGTCCCGTTCCTCCATCTCATCCAAACATGGAACCTACTTAAGTTACATCAAATTCAGTCCATAAAATGTAGTTAGAATTAAAAGTCCATAGCTTACAACATTATACTAATTAAACTGAAGTGTCACAAGGTAGTTAATATTACATTTACAAAATATTAGAGTCTAATACAAAAGATAACAAAATAGAATGGGTCTTCAAGCTCATCTAAACCTGTGGTGGACCGTCGTCCGCCACCTTTTTTCCATATCCTGAAAAAATGTTAAAAGTAAGGGGGTGAGCATAAGCTCAGTAGGAAGTGTCTAAGACACACTTCTTATGTCCCCGTTGATCCATGCAATGAATAGATAAAAAGTGAACGGGATCATGCTATCGGGAAACGCACATTCTCAACCACAATAACAAGTATATAACAAATATCAACCAATCACAAATTTACCACGATGTCATGAAGTGCAATGTTATGCAAATGTCACTCCCCATTTCCGAAACAATTCCGTTTCAATAACCAAACCGTTAGTGTAGTCCGACCCAAGACACATCCATGGCGTCACGAAAGGAAGGTTGGTTAACTATCCACGACCACAAGGCACCTCCAAGGCGTCGCATCCGGCCTAATTAACTCAACTACATTCCCTTCTAGACTACACCAACATCACGGACCACTAGGCTCCTCCTAGGCGTCCGGTTTTCGCAACACTTTTAGAAAATATTTTCCCCAAAACAATTTTATTTGTTCTAACAATTATTTTCCCCCTTTCTCTTTCCCAATGGATGCATGAATGCTTCATGCTTTAAATCATTAATTTAACTATATGTTTTCACACATTTCTATTTACATCATCATCACAATTTAATGAAAATTTCTAAACATTCATTTCCTTTATTTATTTATTTATTTATAATCATAGCATCCATTTTTCTTCAAGACAATAAATAAATCAATAATCATGGAACATACAACACATCAAACACTAAGCATGCTCATTTACCGTAATGAAAATAGACATGTATATGAACTCAAATAACACAAGGAGCACAATTATCATTGTAATTACAAAGAACTACAACAACAACAAGCTAAGTAATTAAAATTTAGCATACTTAGAATCAAATTTAAGGGGAAAAATTCACCAAAGGCCAAGAAATTGTAGATTAGAACACCCCTACCTCAAATTGATGAAAAACCCCAATTTGAGCCCAAGAACCCTAGAATTTTGAACTCCCTAGAGTGCACCAAATGATGATTGGCTCCTATCAAATTAACGGCCTCGAAGAGCTCAACAACTTTACTTCACAATGTTCTACCAAATTCCCAAAGGAAAAAGCAAGATCAAGGTTTGAAGTTGCAAAAAGAAAAAAAAAAAAAAAAATGGGAACTGCCGAGAGCAGTCTGGTTACAGCAAGAGAGAGAGAGAAAGGTGGACTCGTGTAATGGTCTTATGGCCTTTTGTGTGTTTATAACATGGGTGGGGCCCACTTGCCTTATTATTTTTTTTTAACATTTATTATATATATATACATATATATCACAACATTACAGGTAGCACCGGTAACAATGGTGGAAGTCGGTGGCGGTGGCAGTGGAAGGCGGTAGTGGTGGCTGTGGAAGGCAGTGGCAGTAGTGTGGTGCTTGTTGTCGAAGGAGATAAAGGTGTAGGTGGTGGTGGTGGAAGCCAATGGAGGTGATTGTGGTGATGGCGGTGGTGGAAGGCAGTGGAGGTGGTAGTAGTGGAAGGTGGTGGTGGAAAGTGGTGACGATGGTGGTGGCGGCCATAGTAGAAGGTGGTAGCAGTGGTGGAAGGCTGTGGTGGTGGTGGTGACGGAAGGTGGTGTCAGTGGTAGTGGCGGTAGTGGAAGGCGGTGGCGATGGTGGTGGTGGTGATGGAAAGTGGTGGAAGGCGATGGCGGTTGTGGTTGTGGAAGGCGATGTCGGTGATACTGATGGAAGGCGATGGCGGCGGTGGTGGTGGAAGACGGCTACAGCGGTAGTGGTGGTGGTGGCAGCGATGGTGGAAGGCTATGGTGGTGATGGAAGGTGGTGGAAGGCAATGGCAGTGATGTTGGTGGTGGCGGCGGCGATGGTGGTGGAAGGTGGTGGAGGTTGTGGTAGTGGAAGGTGATGGTGGTGGAAAGCGATGGCGGTGATGGTAGCAGCGGTAGTAGTGGTGGTGTTGGAAGGCGATGATGGTAGTGAAAGGTGGTTGTGGAAGGTAGTGGTGAAAGGTGGTAGTGGTGGTGGTGGAAGGAAGCGGTGGTGGTAGTGGTGGTGGAAGGCGGTGGTGAAAGGCGATGGCTGCGTTAGTGGTGGAAGGTGGTGGTGGTGTTGAAAGGCAACAGCTATGGTGGTGGTTGCGGCAAAGGAAGGAGGTGTCGGTAGTGAAAGGAGGTGGCGGTGGTGGTGTGGTGGAAAGCGGTGTGCAATAGTGAAAGTCGGTGGCGACGGTGGTAGTGGAAGATGGTGGTGGTGGTGGTGAAAGACGGATGTGGTTGTGGTGAAAGGTAGTGGTAGTTTTTGGACTTGGAATATGAGAGTATTTTTAGAAGTTGATTTTTTTAAAAAATTTACTTGGGAATTCTAACTTTAAATTGCATACCAAAGAAATGAATAGTCCATTTCATCTGTACACCAAATAGCCCCTCTCTCTCTCTCTTAACAAATAGTAATAAAATTTTACTTGCTCGCCTTGTAATGGGAGCATTTGGAGTGTTCGTATATTAGAGGCATGGTAATGAATGGTTGGATGCATCCAATGTCAATGTAATAAGGCACAAAAAAAATATTTCTCAAAGGATGACAAGTCTAAATTTTTTTTTGGTGTAAATTATCTCTGTTCTCTCATCTCCCTTTTGCATTCAGTTTTACCTCTAACTGTTGAGTTCTGTTCCAGTGAATACAACTCTACTTTATCACTCTTCTGAATTTAAGGTCAGTAAGAAATTAGCAGCTTATTTATCAATTTCTCTTTGGAACCATTAATTGCATGTTTATAACTATTTTTCGGTATATAATTCGATCTCTTTAGATAAAAAATTGTGCTTTTTGAAGAAATTTATGTCTATATATTAATATGCATGTATAGATCCCAATTGTAACTGAATCTGCATGTATTTTTCAACTGCCCTAAGATTTTAATCTATAAGCGAGACCCAAACAATAGGAATTTAAGATTCAGTTTTTAGGATGTTAACTTTTTAAATTCTCCATTACTTTGTAAATTGAGTTGACAAAGGATCATTATGGCTAAAGTCTCGTGGAAGAGAGTTTGTCTTGGAATAAATGTTGATTTCTTTTGTATCATCAATCTCTTGCTGATATATAAGGGCCTAGGGAGTAGCTTGATAATCATTTGATAGGAAAATAAACATTGATAAATGAAAGCTGAAGAACTCAAAGGGATTCCCTTCTTTGTTTGTCTGATTTCTTAATAATCATTATATATATATTTTTCTTAGATATAGCCAAATAGAGCATATCTTTGGACCATCTTCTTTGGGTGGTTGATACTGAACTAGTAGAATTTGGTGCATCTGTATTGTGTCGACTGTATTGGTCTATATAGGGATCTCGAATAAGAGAATGCATCAGTTCTTATTGAGAATGGACAGTTCTCAAAGAAGAGATGTATCATATTCAACCAATAAAAAAGGCATCATATAGAATTTTAGTTTTGATACAAAATGATATCCATAAATACTTCAAAGAAACATATGCTAAGCATATTTCTCATCATGATTAGCATACACAAGATGGAAAATAATATAGAGGATAGTAAAATTTTCTTGCTGATCATGATTTCTTAAATACCAGAAGTAGGAACATCTTTCAGTGCTTATACACTATTATTTAAACAAGGACATGTAATATAAAGAAAAAAACAAAACCTCAACCATAATATTTACTTTGATAATAGATATTGGACATCTGACGATGATGATACACTACTATCTTGATAAAAACTTGTCGAAGTTGAAGCAGCATCCCAAGGCCCAGTGAGGTTAGCTACCGCAAATTCAACCTCTTCATAGTTTTGTTGAATAGTGGATGCTCCGTGTGGCATTCTAATGCCTTCCAACTCTGTTGCAACTTCTTTCATTGTAGGCCTTTTTCTCCCATTCAAGTTCAAGCATCGTTTTGCAAGATTAGCGACTCGCATGATCTCTTCTTTCCCACCTTCTTTCACAACTCGAGCATCAAGAATATCAAACAGACGATTCTCCTTCATCGTCAATATGAAATATGCTGCTAAACTTCGCCATTCTTCAGATTTGGCTGATGAGATTGCCTTTTGTCCTGTTAAGAGCTCAACAAGAACTACTCCAAAGCTATAAACATCACTTTTCTCTGTAAATTGGCTTGATTGGAAGTACTCAGGATCCAAGTATCCAAGGGTCCCTTGTACTTTTGTGGTCAAGTGAGTTTGATCACCTGTAATTGATCTTGAAGTCCCAAAGTCAGACACTTTTGCTCTGTATTTATCATCCAACAATATATTTGTGGACTTGATGTCTCGATGATAAATGGGTATGGAAGTTGCCGAGTATAGATAGGAAAGAGCTCCTGCAACTTCTATAGCAATCCGGACACGAATGTCCCAGGAAAGAGGGAAGTCTTCATTTTGGTCATGGATATATTGGAAAAGGGTTCCATTGGGGATGAATTCATAAACAAGCAAGGGTACTTCAGTCTCCAAACAACATCCATATAGCTTGACAATATTTCGATGGATAATTTGTGATAAAATGACCACCTCATTAATAAATTGTTCAAGTTGGCTTTCATCCACTATTTTGGACTTCTTAACCGCTACAATCTTACCATCTACTAACATGCCTTTGTAAACAGTACCTTGCCCTCCTTGCCCTAGTATTCGATTCTCATTAAAGTGGTCAGTGGCTATTTCCAACTCCTTTGAAGAGAAGAGTTTGGTTTTCTCAACATTACCTTCACCTGAGGACAATTGTTGTTGTAGTAACAAACCCCCATTTCGTTTAAAGAATTTTTCATGGAGCTTAATTTTCCTTCTTTTTCTCACTAGTTTAATCATCCACCATGTACCAAGTAGAAATAGTATTCCGAAACATGTTCCAGTACCTGCAGAATTCAATTGGTAAGAATTACCTTTTCAACCTAAAAAAAATTATGCTTTGAGTGAAAAATATTTGTATAGCTAATAGTCCAAATATTCAATTATGATGTTTAATTACAGTTATATAAAAACTCAAAGTTCAATGTGTATAAATGACAAGTTTTTTAAAGCATTTATAGTCATATAAAATCATTGTTCACCATCTCACATATTTAATACTAATGCACGCTACTTCCAGTAAATAAAAGGACTACTTTGAATACGTAAGTGTACCACTTTTAATACACATCCTAAAGAACTATAGTGTAAATACATTTTTGTATATTGAACTTTGAAATTTTCATATACCTATAGTGTAAATGGAAATTTTTATAGCTTCCCTACACTTGTTTACTGTGTAGCCTGTTCCTATCTGTAGTAGTTGTAGACCTTAAAAAATCATGTTGACAGATTTAAAAATCTAGTGTGTGCGTCTGTTATTATTTTTCTTCTTCATTTTGGCTCAAAATTTAGTTCTTTTTTATATGGACGCAAACCGAATCGCCGGGCTTGGGGAGTTGTTTGTACCTGCGATAATGATCACATTTCTGTTGCCTTCCTTCAGTTTATAGCAATACCTTCCATGGGGTCCAAAAGGTGAGTATCAGGTGGACAATGACACTTGTAACTCCCTGGCGTATTCTCACAGATTATCTCACAGGTATGGGTATCATTTCTCTCACATTCATCGATATCTGACATGCAAAATCAAACAAAATAAGTTATTAACATGTTTGTCTACACACCTGCACAGGGCTACACACTCGCACAGGACTACATACAGAGTACTCGAGGCATACACAGAAGAGTGACAACAGATTATAACTTGTGTACATATTGTTAAAATTGGGATAAATTACACTTCTTTGGTTTAATTTGTCAAATTACGCGCTAATAGAACATCTGAAGTTTATTACTTTGAGGTTTGGTGTGTGCACTCAACCACCCCCTCCCATCAACTGACTGTTAGAATAGTTAAAAATATTTATATAGTACCTAAACTACCCTTATATTATGCAAGAAGACATTAATTAAATTACAATTCTATGTAATCTACATTAATGCATATATATATATATATATATATACACAAACTCATATACTGGAGTAATTGTATGGACCTTACCCAAAAAAATTATAGTTTTTTTTGCTAATTAAATTGAATTAATTAAAAATATATATATATATATAAATAAATAAAATAGACATACAAATTTATTATATTTAAATAAATTAATGTTAATCTATTTCTCCCTTCAACTTGTTCTATTTTCCCCACCCACTCCTTTGCCAACACTGCCGTCGACTTCCTCTTCCTTTCCTAAATCCTAAAATCTAACTTCTCCTTTACCTATTATTACCTCTCTAAAATCTCCTCTCATCCACTTCTTTCTCTCTCTAACATCATTCATCATCACAATCCCTACATTCATCAGAATCATCAGCAACATAATTTCCACTTCCACCTTCATGATCACCAGCACCATCTCGTGAAGAGTAGAGTATCTGCTCATGACTGCTGCATCTGAATTACCTGTTGGTTCTCTCAAACTTCAAAAGAGGTCAGTGTAATTTATCCTAGAATTTATAGTAGTTGGAGAGGTCAATTGGATTAAACAAATCTTAGAATCAAATCATTGTTACTCAACTATTGCATAACTAAACTGAAAATTTATTAATTGCAGAACTTTACCTTGGCATCCATGAGGCAAATACGGGTTTCCTTCATAGCCGTGGTCACATTGGCATAGGGTAGTATTGTAAGTTGAGCTTTGATTGAAACAGGAAGCATTAGTGCCGCATAATGAAGTTTTAGGATAGAAGCCAATGTATGCACGGCACATGTCAAATGTACCCCACCTCAGCACAACAGGGACCTTCTCCATTCCCTTCACGGCATTAGGGTCTGTCAGTTTAGTGAACCATTCTTGGTCCACCATAAAGGCATATTTGCACCCTTTATTATCATTGTTTGAAACTATGCTTCTGAAAGATGCATTGAAAAAGTCGAAGAATGGAGGGATTGTGGTTTGGCAGCAGTTGATGCCATAGCAAACTTTATCTTTTGAAGTAACATTGCAATTGGACACGCAGCCTATGGCCAATCCTCGATAGTCGATTAAGGCGAGGTTGTCACAACCCATGGCCGTGAATCGGGAGTAGGTGTCTGAGAAGAAAAAAGGAGTTGGGTTCAAGTTCACAACTTGATGATTAACCCTGTTATCACAATTAGAAGTGATTACCGGGTTGTAGACACGAATAGTGCCTTCTGTTAATGAGATTTCAAGCACCTCAAGGTTCATGCTAGTGACGAATGGTTTGGGTGGGGTGACAGATTTGTTGCAGATTATCTCAAACGAGTAACTCGACTCAATAGCAAAACAATTGGGTCCAATACCAAATGGGTAAGGAATGGTAATATTTCCGCATTTGTCTGGACAACCAGGCTTTGCTAGTGATGCAGCTAATGCTGATGATGCTTGTGTTAGTGTTAGCCACAACAATAGTGCGATTTGCAGCACCAATTCAATAATCATTCTCTCTCTCATCTTTTTTCTTTTTGGAAGAATGAAAGCAAAGAAAGAAGACTACTACTGTTATATGTAGTATTAGTCATTGACTCATTAGTCAATGCCAGAGTCATTAAACCGTTATTCCAAAGTTGCAGCCTACCATAGCTTACCATTATTTTGTACTTTGGTTGGATTGATCATTGAGCCAGTCGTCATTATGCTTCTCAAAATGAGAAAAATGACACAAACATATTTAGTCAAATTTGATAAAGCCTTGCAATAAATTTAGGTTGATGAATGACATTGACATTATATTGTTATTATTATTTTTATTTTTATTTTTTTGAATGAGATTGACTTGAACTTTTGGCATTCTCTTGATATTTTGTGTCTTTAAAAAGACTATTTTTTAATATTATTTCTTTATTTATTTTATCAAGGTCGGATTCTTAACGTCAATATATTTTTATATAGGTCATTTCATGTGATTTAAAATGATGTTTTCTTATTGATGATGTTAATTCCACCTAATTTTATCTGCAACACGCTTATTTTTTTAGCTCTTCGTTTACAACATTTGCATTTAGATTAATCATAATATATAATATTAATAATGGGGGTAAATTGCCCTGACAATTCAGATTTCCTTTTATTTTTCACATATTAAATTGTTTAAAAAGTTACTCTGACACTCTTGTCACAATTAGCAGTAGTTTGAAAGAAGATGTATTTTTACTATTATATCCCTTTCTTTATTGAATCATTTGTATGCACATTACTGATGATTAGTAAGACATCTTTCTTTATGATACAAAATATCTACATTGCTCATGATATGATTAATAAATCACACAAAATCAAATATTCTTAAAACAAAACGCTCAAGACCCATAATAACAAATTAATTGATTTTAAATGATGTTTTCTTATGAATGATGTTAATTCCTCTTATTTCTACCTTCAATACACTTGTTCTCTTAGCTCTCCCATCTTTTACAACATTTGTATTTAAATTAATTATAATATATAATATTAAAAAATAGGATAAAATGCTCTGACTATTCAGAATTTTTATTTTTATTTTTTATAGATTAGACATTTAAAAAAATTGCTCTGATACTCTTATCAGAATTGACTACAGTTTATTTTTAACTAAAAAGACATATTTTTACCATTATACCCCTTTCTTTATTGAATCAGTTGCATGCATCATTACTCATGATATGATTAATAAATCACACAAAATCCAATATTCTTAAAACAAATCCACACTCCTAGAGAAGGAGACCGAACACCACACCCAAAGACCTACCTAGCACTCTACCCAGAATAACAAATTAATTGAATTTTATACTAAAATACAAGAATTAATAAGTAGATGAAAAATTCAACGCATACTTTTCATAGATTTATTATTAGGACTGATAAGTTTGAACAATAATAAAGAATAAGATATCAAGAAAATATAGCCCAGTAGTGCTCGTGAGAGAAACCTCATCACTAGTGAAACTTCGCCACAACACCACAAGACTATTCTTTGATTGTCAGGATCTTTCTATTTTTGGGACTCAGTCAAAAACTTATCGCTTAGTTTTGTTCTCGAGTTCTAATTAAAATTTGTACTAATATTATCATAACACACCTTACCCAAAATAATAATAATAATAATAATAATAACCCTCCATACCAAAAGATTGTCATTATGATATTGTTTTGCAAAATATAGTAAATTCAAAAATTTAGGTTACAATCTTCAATTGGATTAGATAATTTTTTTTGGGTAAATTACACTTACCCTCCTTCCTTGAGATTTGGACAAATTATATACGACAGAGTGTTTGGTCATTATTATTTTGACTTCACTAAAAATGTGAAATGTCTTTTATACCCTTATTTAATTTAGGATTGATAGGTTTGAACAAGGAACCAATAATAAGATATCAAGAAAATATCGCCTTATTTTTAGAGTCCATTAATGCTCATGAGAGAGACATTCATGAGATTAATAGTCGTCATGAACCAAAAATAAGATATTAAGAAAATATTTCTTATTTTTGGAGTCCCAGTGTTGCTCATGAGAGAAACATTCATGAGACTATTCTTTGATTGTCATTATATAGTCTTTTTATTTTTTGGACTTAGTCATAATCTTATTGCTTAGTTTTCTTCTCGAGTTCTAATTTAAATTTATACTAATATTATCCTAACACAGCTTACCAAAAAAAAAACATATTGTTCTAACATTGTTGTTGCAAAATAGAGTTGATTCAAAAATTTAGGTTACAAACTTCAATTAGACTAGATAATTTTTTTTTTTTTTTTTTTTCTTCAAATGAATTAAAGAAACATGAAGAATTTCAAATGAATTAAAGAACAGAACGCTGTTGTAGTAATAGAAGTAATAAAGTATGCATAATTTAAATTTTATAATGTTTTGAGTTTGTGTTTGTTAAGTTTTTTTTTTTTTTTTTAATCATTTGAATTTGTTTAGTTTACAATTTAAGGTTATTTAGCTCAAGAGTCTTTCTCCAGTGGGGGCCTTACCCATTGTCCCAATGCCAGTTGAGCTGCTGTGCTTTGGAAATAGATATTGAGTAAGTCGAGCACACCAGTTATAAGTATACTTATTCAATCAAAAATAATATATTGTCTTGTTATCAATAATTTTATAAATAGGTGGGCTAACTTTTTTGAAATGATACATTATCATTGAATGAATATACTAATTACGTGACGTGCAAAATGCACGCAATATCTACTCCTGCTTTAGACACCCATAGAAAAAGAAAATGACTTCTACATGCTACATTGCAATAGTCATCAGCAAGGAATTGTTTCCTTGCCATTGGAATTCTCCCCCACCACTAAAATAATAGCACTCTTCACCTCCTTTGAATATTCAAAACCATAAACTTTCAACTTCTTACAATCCTTGTCTAAATCATTCTTACTTTTCTTTTCCGAATCATTTCCATTTTCTAAAGAAGCAGTGACAGATTTGGATGGGCAAGGCCCTAGAAAGAGACCCGAGTCTACCGGTCCATTTACTGGTCAATGGTAGGGATGGAAATGGTCTGTCCAGTGAGACATGCTCCATTTAAAACGGTTTTAGAGTTTTATTTAATTGATTTGTCCACCCCTACATTGTTTAGAATACAAAAATAAAGATGTGGTGGTGTTGCCCGAATGAAGGTGTGGTGGTGTTGCCCGAATGATAAAAAACCATATCTTAAGTTATGCATTCACATCATTCTTGCCTGATACCGTGATACGAGTCTCAATTGTCTTAAGTTAACTAAATTGGTCGGGAGAGAAACATTCATGAACCAAGAATAAGATATTAAGAAAACATCTCTTATTTTTGGAGTCCGAGTGATGCTCATGAGAGAAACATTCATGAGACTATTCTTTGATTGTCATTATATAGTCTTATATTTTTTGGAATTAGTCATAATCTTATTGTTTAGTTTTGTTCTCGAGTTCTAATTAAAATTTATACTAATATTATCCTAACACAGCTTACCAAAAAAAAAGCCTCCTTACCAAAAAAATGATGTTTTAACATTGTTGGTTCATATAATTGAAGTACGATAAATGCAAAACTAGTACAAGTAAATCATGCCCTGGAAACTAATCTATGCCAAGTGTTGTAGATTGGTGGTGAAGCAGTAACAAGAAGTGAAAGATGGGGCCACTGGTAATGGTGAGATACGGAGATTCTCAAAAATTATATGATAGTGGATGTAGTGACTAACTGAATATATTAGTAGCACATTGGTCCCAAATACATTCTAACATGTGATTTTCATAGTTAAAATGAAAGTGCACCTGTTTTAATTGCATACTAAATGTCAAAGAGAAACCTCAAAGTGACTGTCTACTTTACCTTGTGTCATACATTGAAGAAAATTGAGGTTGAGGAGATCGTTTGCCCAAGGGAGTGAGCCATCCGAGTTCAGTAGTGAGTACCGACCGATGTATTCCATTCAAACTAGTTGATGGGTGCTTTACTGTGATCTGAAGCTGTAGTATTACACTGGAACAGGAGAGAGCATTCAGCTTGACAGAAACAAAACCAACTTGTCAAATTTTGACCAAAGAAGTCGACGGGATTAACATACGCAAAACAACCACAATCAAACATATTCACCAGAAAGGAAATTTAAGTTTTACACAAAGAGCCAAACTAGACACAAACTAGTCCATTAAGGCAGACTAGAAACAAACTAGTCCATTAAACCTGGGCAAGGAGTAGCAAAACCTGGACAAGGAGTAGCAAAACCTGGGCAGTAACTATTAAGTGGTGAATAGATTGAAAATTTGACAGTTGCTGCACATCTTATAACTTAATCATGGAAGTAACTATTAAGCTACAACCACAGATAAATTCTACATCTTATAGAATCTTTCAAATTGTGGCTCTCGTACTCATAGTCCACTTCCACTACCTTTGATCACAGAGAAACTAACCTATGATAAATGATACAAACTGAAATGGCATAAAATCCAATGAAAATATAGAAAAGGAGTTGCACTGCAGAATTAAAGGCATTTAAAGATGAGAGATGATTCAAGCAGAAAAATTAATATATATAAATCACAAGAGATTAGTTCATAATTCTGACACCACAACTACAGAACTGAGTATCGTGATGGTGTACATTGGTCAAGGACTGACATCCTGCCAGTACATTGAATGTTTGGTTTCAGTTTTAAAAGGAAGGAGCATACATGCAGCCTGAATAAATTGAGTTGAGACTCGTGCTTATACTTAATGTCTTCTAGTTATGACAATGTGAGAATAGAGCAATTCCTACTGAAGGCACACTTTTACAGTTGAGAGGGCCAAAAGTAACTTTCTCCTGGAGTAAAGTCAGTGCATCCATCCTCTTGAGTGGCCTTCCATCATGTATGGTTCAAGAAATCCAATGAACTGCAACGATATATAAATAGATGACTAAAATCAAAATTTTGCTATTAGTAGCGACAGAATTAAACACTATTAGCTCCATTTTTCCCAAAGAAAGTCAAATCCTGACATAAAACTTTACTTTTCAATCGGTTATCTGTTTAAACAATTTCCTATTGTTTGCTAGGTGTTATCTTTGAACAAGCTAATTTTAGTCCACCGGATGGCAGCCAATGTTGTTTTACAGGGAATCTTTTCAAAACTGTCTTGTCCGGTGTTATCTGGGAGATAAAACTTTTTTCAACATCCATAGGAAGTTTTTTCACCACATATATCCTGTCGATTGAAGCAATATATGAACATACTTCTTGCCACCTAAAGTTACTGGTATTAATGCTTTTTTATGAGAATAGATTCGACAACGAAACAAAGACAACCTAAGGAATGTTGCATATAATAAACATAATGTGCTTTACCCAAATATGCATGGGGAATGAGGAAAAACATTGAAAAGAAAATAAAAAGAGAAAAAACTTAGAATAGAAAATAATATTTCCTGGTTTAACATTTTCACAAGACCGTGTTCAAAATATTACAAATTCCAGCTTGATTTAAGTCACTTTCAATATTCAAATTTTCTACCATATAAAATGGCAGTAATTCAAAGAAATTTTGAAAAACAAAATCAAATTATTATTAATTTCATTTCAGTTACAATCAGAACCAAAATGCCATTGCAATAACATTCTAATCTTTTTCTAAAATCTTAATTCTGCAAAGAAAAACAATCTGCAAATTCTTTTGAAATTGGGTTGTCAAGATCTGATTTTTAACTGGACAATATTGAGATTCAGGCTGAGCTTATTCAAAATTCTATCTTTCTCTAGCCGCAATCCTGTAGAAGTTTCACATAAATTTTCATCCGTCGTTTTAGTTATAATATAAAAGTATACAAAAAGAATATTACTACCTTTGTTCCGTCTTCAGACCACCGAGCACCATAACCATCAGCAATCCTTATCTCAAAGACCACCCCATGTGGTGGGACAATATGCATATTTTGCCAGCAACAATGATCTATTAAGCGACTAATGACATCAACAGCAAGCCTGTTTTTATTGGAATCTAGTGGAGGAAAAAGAAAAAGCAACAAAAGATCAACCAAGATTCTTACTAGTGTTAAGAGTCTAACTGAGAAAAACCTTTTTTGTATTTTTTTATAAAATGTATAATGGTCATTAATCATTATCCTAAAAACACACTACCTCGGCATTTAAAAGGTGAATCCACCATCATATTAACCCCAAGCACTAAAATCAAGGTGATGACATATTATCAGCAACAGATTTCTAACCAAAATGGAGGATTCTATTATTAAGTTAAATTTGCCATTGTCTTTAAAAAGTTGTGCTCCCAAATCTGTGGAATTTGATAGCAACCATTCAATTAATTATCCTCACTTAGCTGTTCCACGTAATGATATGATGACTTTCTTAGGTGTTTTAGGCTTATACAATCAAGTTTAGAGGGAAAAATACTCATAGTCATTCCTATATGCATCCAACATAGTTCCTCTCATGAGAGTATATATGTTCTTGTCAACATTTCTTTTTCCAAACAAAACAGTAATTCATTGTGAATTCTTAAACTAGAGATCAAGTTGCCTATATTAATAATTGGTGCTCATAAAGGGTATGTCAGCAGCCCAAAAGAATGAGCAAAGGCATCACACCTTTTTCCCTTAAGGAAAGAAACTTATATTCTTCATAGCATGTTATGAGGCATGGGAACGATCAGCATTATGTTTACATGCAATAAAAACAATGTATCTATATTGAAGAGCCACATCAAAACAAAAGGAACGAACCACTTCCACTGAACCTACCCTAGTATCCAACACTGCTCCTGTTGATGTGCTTAGCTAAGGCCCTAGCTCCATCAGTCAAGATGCAACCTTTAACCTGTAGACAAGAAAATGAGAATAGTTAAGTAATAGAAGAAGTAACATATCATCATTCTCCTAAAGACTTCAAGAAAATAAACATATAAACTTTGTATATATAAAAAATAAAAAATTTAACTTCCAAGAAGAAAATGTTTTTCCAATCACTCTGATAAACAGAACATCCCAATGTGAATTCATAAAATACAAAAATAGATCACAAGTGCACCACCATTTGGGTAAATGTATATCAAGTCACAAGTCTGTAAATGTACAGATCACGGTTTTTCAGGTCATTAATGATGTCACTCATCAGTGCAATTGGATGAAATGTACCATCCACACCATCTAGACTTCTGCAATATATGTCCGACTCTACATTCCAGAGGACACACTGGAAGCCAGATTTTTATTTCTTCTACATGAGACCCATCAAATTGTTTGACCTACCTCCTCAGTGTATGTGCTTTGTCTAAGGTGCAGACAATGCAGAATAGCTTACTCATCCTCCTAGCCAAATAAATCCTTTTAAATACAAGCCAAACATCATCAACCCCAATTCTCTCTCTGTTTTCCTTTTTCCTTATAATAACATTTTCTTCCTTCGTTTTTTTTTTTTCCTTTTCCCTCGTAATAACATGAAAAATTGCACTATCAAGAACTAAAAAAAATTAAAAGGAAAATTTTAATTACAAATAAAATGAAAAGATAATAACTAATAAGATAATTATTACAAGTCACCATCATACCTCTGGATTATGCGGCAACAAAAATGACAAAAGCACAGTTGATCTTGGTGGAGGAAGCGCCTCTGGAATTGTTCCTGCTGTACCAGTGAGACCCAAAAGCCTCTGAACACCCTCATAACTCAATCCCTGGATAAACATGAAAATAGTTTAGCATACCACTAAGGGATCCTTGTACTATAAGGTACATCTCTACTCTAAATAATATAGATGTTTGGTAATTAAATGAAGACAAGAGAACCCTGTATGCACATGCAAAAAAATCAAAGCAGATTCTTACCTGACCATAATATGTGCATATAAATGCATATGGTATATAAAATATAACAGTGGAGCAGCAACTTACATAGAATATAATAATCTGATAATTCTTTAACTTCATCTTTCACGTTATACAATTCTCATAATAAAAATAGAAAATTAATCAAGATTCTATAGTCACTTATATAATACATGTATATAAACAAAAAATTATATTTATATTCTTGTGTTCATGCCTGACAATATCCTACTGTTCTAGCATCTGTTGTTTCTGCATATTTGTGTCGTATTATGTTCCGTGTCCAGACATCTTTGTTACTTAACTGCAAATACACTTACCAAAAGTATGCTAGCCAAAGAAATGTAAAGCTGAACAGCTGCCTTCGTAACACGAATTGCAAGGACTCCATTTGACCTTTCCTTCTCTTCTGTGTAAAACTTCCGGTAAATCCGCACACCTGAAAAGGTTGAATGTCTATTATTTGTGGACTACAAGTTTTATAAATCACTAAGTCAGGATTCTGCTGGTCATCAGTAATTCTTTCATTTAAGTTAAGTGACAGCAGGATTAACTTAGCACGAAGCAGCAACAAGAAGAGGATATGATTTCTGACCAAGCATGTTAAAAAATAAGCATGTTCTCTAAACTTCACTTAAAATGCAAGTGATAACAACAGAAAGAATAAAATAAAGCATGACATTATAAATGGGCTTTACAATATAGAATTGACCCTTACCCTCCATCGACAAAAGATAAAAAAATCGGATCTATCAGATCTAGATCGATTGAAAAAGCACTATCTCGTTGAAAGGTTCTATACATCTGTCCTTTCTCAACGCATTTCTTTAGCCAAAGACTCCGTTTTTTCCTCTTTCCGGATGGTAAATATTTCTCAGAACATGGAGTGTGAATCAACCCCAGGGGCACTCAGGACATATTCTCATGAATTCATTTGCTTAAATACTAGAGCTCATTACAACTCATTTAGTGTTTAACTTATAAAAGAGTCCTCTATCCTATCACTTCTTCCTCTCACTCTTCTTAACATTAGGTTTAGATAAAAAAATTGAATCATCTTCTATCTCTTTGCCTTTTGCTTTTTGATAAGCTTCCCTGAAAGTTTCTGCATTTTAACAGTTTACCATCCTTTCAGATTCCACATTGTATAACTGCTTATTATATTTGAAAATTTTCAAACAGAGAAAGGCCTATCAGGTAGCAAACCAGTAACTGCCGGGTTTATCACAATATTGGCTGATATCAGGCTGTACAAACAGTCATCAATATGTTATGCATAAAAAATGAAAAAAAATAAAATAAAGTCACAAAACACCTAATTAGAGGTTTGAATGCAGAATTTTAAATCTTCTCCCTCTCCAGATTCAGGTGATGGCCACTTTATGGTGTTATTTCAGAAGTGCAAATATCCCTGAGGGCCTGTGTCTGTAACTTCTGATTTGTTTTTGAAAAATATAGCCGTAGGTCCACAATCCTGTACTTTCTTTTAAGGAAAAAAAGAAAAAATCATTTGTGATGTTCCGGATAGAAGAAATGTCCATTTGAAATTTAGGTATTTTTGCATATATTTTAAGGTTTTGGGAGTTTTATTCAATAAAATGATATGACTGAGAATGGTTGTCTTTAGATAATTGACGTTTTAAGCATAGGTGTTTTTGGGACTATCAGAGCCATTTTAAATGATAATTAAGGAGAGGATTGTATTCTGGTTTGTTTAGATCTTATTATAGCTAAGTCTTATAAAGCTCTTGCTTTTAAAGTGAGAAGTACATTTTTGAGAGAGAATTGTTTTTGGTGGTTATGGTCAAGTAAAAGAACATTTATGTATCTTGTCAAAAAGGTTTGCTAAGTGGAATGTGTATGACTAATGGTTAGCAATCAGTCCGTTTAGGCCTTCCTGGGTGCTAAGAAGAACTTGAAGAATATTACAACTGCTTCCTCTTCTACACCAACCCTAGTATGAGGATTGAGGAATAAATACAAGAAGAACTACAAAAACTTATAAATTCATTATTATATTCCCTAAATGCTTAAATGCTTTCAACACATTCTCTAAATGCTTTCCACATAGAAGAACATACCATGAACTAATAAGATGTATGGAACAGCACTTCCAAAGGCATGAGGGAGGAACTGAATAATATTCACCAGTGTTCAATACAAAATTAATAGTCTTCCATCTCTTCATAATGTCTATTGCAGCCTGCAGAGGTAATTAGTGATGCAATTTATCCATTGCCTCTTTTGTAAGCAAAGTTCAGCGGAAGTTTATTTCTTTTTAGAAGTAGTTATCTTAAAAGTCGCTGATAGTTCAATGGAAAATTAATATGGTGGTTGCACCCAAAATCATGTACACATAATGAGTGCAAGAATTGCCCATATGAGAAAATTAAACATAAGATGAACCAATGTTGGGATAAGCTTGAAATTTTTCCAATATTTTTTTATATTATCATTTTCGAGTGTAACTTTAGCAAAAGAATACAAGTAGTAACATAGTGAATATCAATGGTAAAGAGATATCAAAATAGTTTCATTAATTAGACTCAACTGTGCATAGAGAGGGAAATATATAAGATGATGTTATTAAATTAATTAACGCAGGTTGCAATAAATGAGTGTTTCTAGCATAATACGTTATTAACATATACATCTAAAATTAAAAGGTTAGGTTTATAAGACAGTAGCCAACTATGCTTTGTGTCGACGAATATTGGATGGTTAAGAAACAATATGTTAATAAAATGTGATCATGCAGATGTTGAGATTAATGTGTAGTAAAGATGAGAACAGATAAAATTAGAAATGATCGCATTCGTGAAATAATGGAAGTTGACCTATTGGAGATAAAATAAGAAAAAATCAACTAAGAATGTTTGATCATGCGCCACAAAAACCAATAATTGCACTAGTATGAAAAAGTGGTGTGGTAGGGTAATGCTATGAGACAGGAGAAGAAAGGTTCAGTAGAGTCTGATAGTTCAATTGATATGAACTGCTAAGGACCGGACCTGATCTAGTCTAAGAGGGGAGTGAATAGATCTTGTAGAACAATTCAATTATTTTTCCAATTTTAATTTAAGCAAATATTATGACAAAATTAAATTAATAACATATAAAAATCATGCATGCTTATATTATAACAAAATCAAATTAATAACGTAAAAAATCATGCAATCCACAATCGATAACTCAATAAAGCAATAAATATGGCAAAAGAAGATTCATGAAAGATCCCAAATAAAGAGGACAAGGCTTTTTGAAGCTGAGTACTGTCACCTTGACATTTGCATCTTCACTAGAAGGTTCCTCTCTCAATTAAATAAGCATAGAATGTTAGGCGTGCACACGGTTCAGTTTGGTCCGGTTTTGGGATGAACAAGAACCAAATCAGTCCCAATGGTTCCAAAAATATTAGAACCAAACGGAACTGTTAGAACTAGTGGAATCAAACCGTAAATAATTGGATTAGTTCGGTTCGGTTCTACGGTTTTGGACCTTCTTATATATATATATATATATATATACCCACACACACACGTATGTATGTCTATATATTCAAATTAATCAAATGAAAAACCATAATTTTAAAATATATGATTATCCTATGATTTGTGGCGTATGGTAAGTTATATTTTCTACCAATTAAACTCAAACATTAAACTCAAACATTTGTATTATTTATATAATATATAAAACTATCACTCACACTTTGATCCAGTTCTTTTTGACCCCAAACTGGAACCGAACCATTATCAACAGTTCTTGAACCATTCCATCACAAAACTAACCAAACCGTCCAGTTTACCAGTTGTCCGGTTCTAACGGTTTTTAGTGCACCCCTATATAATATTCATAACAAAGTTTGATATTGAAAGCATCGTTGAGGAAAATTGAATTAATTCAAGTGTTTTTATTTTTATTTATTTTTTGGGTGCGTTGGGGTAAGAGTTGATTCAAGTTTTTTGTTTTTTGTTTTGAAAGGTAAGGAGTTGATTCAAGTTGCTGCCAAGTAGAAGGTATAATGCCTTTGTTGTATTCAATAATTTCAATTGAGTTTTATTGTTACACTTATAAGTGTCCTTTTGCTAGAATTCCTATAATATCACTCAACCATCTCTAATTCATGCTTACATTTATTGCAAGTTCCACTAATATGCATAGAGATGGCAGTTAAGAAGTAAACTATCTGCTAATTGGTGGCATCTAGCACTCACTCTGTGGATTATGGCTGCAACTGAGCCGAGCCAAGCTTTTGACTGCTCGAGCTCAAGACAAGCCCATACAAGAGTTTTGAGCTTGAGCTTGAGATCGAGCTTGAACATTACTCGTTGAGCTCGGGTCAGCTTGTTTGCTCTCATTTTTGTCTTAATCTTGAGCTCATTGTCAAGCTCGAGCTCAAACTCGAACTTGAGATTGAAGATTCTTCAAAAGAAGAAATAACTATATATTCAAACAAATTCTAATAAACGACTCATGTTCACGAACCTTTATCGAACTTGTTCATGAACATGTTCACGAGCCGAGACATGGATTGTTCAGGCTCGGCTTGTTTATCAAACAAGCTGAAGCCAAGCCCGGGCTTTTCATGAATAGCTAGGCTCATTTGCAGCCCTATTGTGGATCATGTACAATCAGTACCGACATCAAAAAGTAGCCTGAGTTGAATTCCTAATAAAATATGAGGCTGTTACCTTCTTCTGTGGTTTTTACTCCAGGAAGGACTTTTGTTAGACTCTCAGCTTCCAACATCTCAGAAAACGAAGCATACCTGATGACATCCTGTAAACTATTAAAGCTATGTGTGCAGAAGTGCATATGAAGAAAGTAAAGATGAACTGAAAGAAAATCTGATCACCTGAACTTGAAGCACAAAGCACTTGTTGAAGAGAAGCAGTGCTCCTGATCCAATATTGATAATCAAACTAAGGCAAAATTAAAGAGAGAAAAATGAATAGGAAAGCCCAATAAAGAATACGTAATTAATCTTAATTATTATTCACTAATTCAAAAATAAAAGGCTATTAGTTTGACACCAGTGGAAACAGATTTAGCCTAAAAGGAGAACTAGATACACTAAATAAGCAGGAAGAGAATCATAATCCTTCAGGATAATTTTAAAAATAGGCAGGAAACACATCCAAAGCAACTATTCTCACTTGTCCAATCTCAACTTAATTTTATCTTGTGACCCCATCATATCTTCCCCAGAAAATATTTTTCACTTCTCAACCAAAAGGAAAACACAAGAAACACTAAAAAATTCCTACAGTATTTCTTTCTGTATGGACATTATTTTTTAACTCTTTAAGAAAACTGAAGTAAGCTTGTCTTAGTGAGCCCTGAGAAGATTATTGTTATTTTTTTAACACCTTCAACCTGACAAGATTAATAGGGTTTCAGTTGTGTATTAATTCACAGAAATTAAGTAAGAGCTGTTACATGGGTTGGACTCCACTACTCCCTTCTTCCGTCTTATAGCTTGGAGTCCTCTGCTCCATCATTTCTTTCTTTTTTTCTTTTAACTATTTCCATCCTTTGTGCATGTCATTGCAATAAAACTTATGCAGTGGCATCTCCATGGATTTATATGTAACTTAAGGTATGTATTTTTCCAAACAAGTGATGTTGTGGGGGTTTAGAATCGGGACTAAAACAGCCCCCTTAAAGTTAACAGGCTCAACAAACCCCAAACTTTTTTATTATGGAAGATTCAACAAATAAGTGTGATCAAGTTGAATTTTGTGTTACACAAACTAAACCTCTTATTTGATGAAAACTCTAAACCCATCTACCTTGGGTAGGTTGGCAGGTCCACCTTCAGTTGTTTTGAGGCCATCTGCAAGCAATGCCAAATTAATATGAATAAATAATCATTCACCAGATAGAAACAATTTATCAAGAAATCAAGCTCAAAAGCAATTAGGACTTCCACAGTTAAGTATCAAAATATATAATCCAGTTATGGGCCGCCATGTACGTCTTAATACAAACACACAATACCTTTGAGCTGGGAAAAGAAAGGCTCCTGAACATGAAGTTCAAAGTCTATAGCTTTCAACACCTGATAGAAGGGCATACAATATGTTAACAACAATGAGACCAATGTATCATAAATAAATATAATAAGAAAGAAAACAGGAAATGATTGACATCATCACATTTAACTTACATTTACTAATTCAGACCCCTTTGCTTGAACCAATTGATTCCGCTTCTTTCTGCTTCATGGAACTGTCTTCATGGATCAATTCCATTTCTTTATATGTCCTGCAGAAAGATCCAGAAGATATAGACTGGTACAAAGCTGATGCTAGAGGCTTGCATAGAGGATATTGAGGAATTCCTTCAGAAAAATCTGTAACAAGTGTGAATGAAAAATGTCTTTCCTTAAACATATATGCATAGGAACATAACTAAGTATCTATTGTCATAACTAAGTATCATTCCAGTGCAGCACAAGTCATTTCCACAACATAACTACAATTCAATAATCAATAATGCTTCGCCTCTTTCCACGTGCATACAAGTTCCACACACCAGTAGCATGAGAACTGTATATTCATATACACTTGCAAACAAATGCAATGCACTTTTCTGAGTGTTTACAATTGATAAGCTCTATAACATAGTAAAGCAAAATTCCACATCAACTACACACCAAATATCATTCAACCCAGCACAATGGTTTTATAATTTTCCTAATAATATCTATCTATCTATCTATATATACACATGTATGTATTTGTACCTCAGCTTGGATCACAAATTGGATTGGCATGAAATTTGGATTAAAAGGTTGGCCAAATTTTTTATATCGACTGTTTTAGTACTTTTTCAGTGATTCATTACAATATTGAGTTAACTACAGAGAAGCTAGGCCAAATTTAGGTTGACTATAATTTTTTTTAAAAAAATCTAATTGTCCAAATTCAGATCAAATTTCAACAATACAAACAAATTCAAATTCAGAATTGACCTCCATACTGCCCAGAAATTCACATCTTACAAACCATGTCCCCACCCACCCCATCAGTACATGCATTGATACATACATGGACTCAATCTAAATGGCGCCAAAATATTAACCGCTCTAGAGACACGAATTCACACATGAATGTGTGGATTGCGTTACGTAACAAGCTTCACGAATCACGACCTTAACAAAATAATTAAGCTATTGATCAATCATTCAATTCTAAATAACAACACTCAACAACACAAGTTCTACAAAATTAATAACCGAATTATACACACACATACACATTATAGCTGGTGACTTGAGTACGGAAGAAGTGTGTGTTGGGTAATGAGTTTTGTGGAAATGTAGATAGTGAAGATTTGATTTTGATGATGAAACAAGTACCAGTGTGATTGCAATTGGGGTTTGCAGGGTCGTTCTTGAGGAGGTTAGGACAGTACTCCTTTGAAAGGCCTATATCGAATCGTAGGGTTTCGTCGATTGAAGACGCGAGTGTGAAGTTGAGCACCTCCTCTAAGCATTCTTTGAGTTGTACTGGACTGAATCCTGGAGACGATGGCTCTTCGTGTTCCTCCATTTCTCACACTTCAATTCTCTCTCATCTTCAATTCAATTGCAGTCAATCAAAACGTACCGGTGTGGTATGACCTTGGTGGGCCCAATTCCCCTCCATTTTTTTAATTTGTTCTTGAGAACTTTTTTATTTTATTTTTATTTTTTATTATTTATGCGTGGATTTGAATCATCTAAATTTTTTATTTTGAAAAGTGAGGAAGTTGGATTATAATAAGTTTCGGGTGTGCATAAGTAAAGAAAAAAAAAAAAAAAAAAATTAAATTTTCAATATGCATTTGATTAGAAGGAAAAATTTTAGAAAATATTATTTTGCTATATTGGATAGAATAAAAATAAAAAGAAAATAATTCTATTATCAAAACTACTTTAGGAATTTAAATATTTTAAAATAAAATAAAATTATGTTTGATGAATTACCCTTATACCTAATTGTTTATATTCATTTTTAACCAAAAAAAAAAAAAAAGAGTAAAACAATATATTATTAAAAATAATAATATAATTATTTCTATTAACATCTAAATTGTATCTTTAACGAACACATCAATTGTAAAATCTAAATCAATCAAACTAAGAATCCGAATACCCTACAACACCAACAGTAACCCTAATTTTCCAATCAAACTAAAAAACTATACCACTCGATCTCGATCATTATTAATTATGGAACCCAAAATAATTAAAATAAAAAATTAATTTATATGCATATATTGAAATATAAATAATTAAATTAACGTTACACCAATTTATAGAAGGAAATTTACTTCTGCGTGAAGTTTTTGGAGAAACTAAAGAGTGGGGAGAAATAAGGAGAAAGTGAAGAAGAGTAGGGGAGAAATAACTGTCAGGGGCACAAGAGGAAACTAAGATATAAGGCTTTGTTTGGTTAGGTGAAAATAATTAGAAAAGAAAGAAAAGAGAAAATTTTTAAATTTTTTTAGAGTTTGGATAGATAGAAGAGAAACTTAGGCTTCATTTGGTTAGATAGAATCAACGGGAAAAGAAGGAAAATAGAAAATTTTTAAACTTTTTTATAGTTTGGTTAGATAGAAAAGGAAAAGTTCTAGAAAATTAGGATTCTTGTAACTTTTTATTTTCTTAAAAATGTTTCCTTCACAAAACAAGGGAAATTTTTATTTTCCCGTGGAAGCATGTCTTTTTATTTAGTATTCCTATTTCACCAAACAACTTCATTGATATTATTTTATCCAACAATTTCATTTTATATTTGGAAACAACAATTTTTTTTACTAAGTTTCAAAGAATTGGAGTTCACTAACAACTTTATCATTGATAAATTTTTAATTAACTTGACTTCCATTCCTAGTTATTTTTCAACATATATGAATAATAGTAATTTAAAAGGTCTAAATTAATTGAAAATTTTATCATTTTTAATATATTTTATTACTAATTTTTTTATTATTTTATTATTTTATAAAATATGGGTAATTTAAGTATCTAAACTATAATATGATATTTTTCTACAATTTTCTTGAAAAAATTTTCATCCTAAGCAAATACATACTAGAAAATCAAATTTCTTTTCATTCATTTCACTTTTCTTTTCATTTTTCATTTCTTTTCCTTTTTTGCTATTTCCATCTAACCAAACGAAACCTGGAAAATTTAGTTTTCCGCATTGAGTATTTTTTCTCAATAATTTTCTCCCAAAAAACACGTGAAAAAATTATTTTAACGTGAAAAAAAGGCCTAATTATTTGTAGTTCCTATTTTACTCAATAACTTAATTATGCAAAGTTCTCTCCAAAACAACTTATATTATGAAGTAAATTCTCTCCAAAACAAATTCTATTATAAGGTAAGTTCCCAGGACTTGGATCGTCTAAGTTATCTAGGCCTTCTACCGAGTCAACGTAAAGCAAACCAGTCTGTTTTGATCTAGTTGAAAATCCATTTGAAAACGATCATCAATATGAGAATGGAATTGATTAAGGCTTATTGTGAGTCTAGCGTTAGGACACTCCTTTTTTAGTACATGCAGTAACGATGAGTGAGCAAGAAAGTCATTGAGGGTGATTGCAAACAAGTCATGGAACTTTCGTATTACCAATATAACTGACAACTATTGCCCACTTGTCCAAAGTTGTGAGCTAGCGACAAGATGGAAATGGCAAGAAAAGAAGTATAAACTTTTGGATCAAGTGTCCCTATATATCTTTATGTGCACAAATTTGAAAGCCATTTAGTCCTTTCACTATTATGGTAGCACTCCATCCCAAATCAATATACAACCCTCTTTTGGTACTCGAACTTCCTCTTTTTTTCTTTTTTTTTTCAAGTCCATCGAAGAGTTGTCCCTTGCCTTCCTCATCATTGAAATATGAACTGGCATTTGAGTTCCATCCAACTCAATTGTTTTCCTTCTCAATAGATTATGATTAATCATATGATTGGAACATAACTGCAATATGCTATCCTTGCACTAAATTCAGAGTCCAGCAATATTTCATATGGTGCTCAAATTTCCTTCCATTTTTAACACTTTTTATCCTCTCTTAGCATACTTCCGTGTTTTGGTTTTCGGCTATCTCGTATAGCTGACCATGTGAGAGTTTTCCAGCCTATTAGATATCAATGCATTCAATGTGACCTCTGAGTGCCATGGAGTTGATGGAGACTAATACACTACCAAAATGTTGTTGAAGAAAGTTTTTCTTGGAATATATTTTGATTTTGAGCCGTTTGTATCACCTCTCTCTTGTTGATAAGAAAATAAACATAAATACATGAAAATGTAAGAACTCAAAGGGATTCTCTTCTTTGTTTGTCTGATTTGAGGGAGAAGATCCCGTTGAGTCCTTAATAATTATAATATTTTATTTTTTTCATATGGCCAAATGGAGAGTGCCTTTGGACCATCTCCTTTGGGTGGTTGATACTGAACCAGAAGAATTTGGTGCTTCAGTACTGTGTCGACCATATTGGTCTATATAGGGATCCCAAATAAGAGAATCCATCAATTCTAATTCAGAATAGGCATAACTTAACTAGAGCACTAGAAAACAACAGAAGAGATGTATTGTATTCAACTACTAAAAAAAAAGCATTAAGACTATTTCTCATTGTGATTAGCTTACACAAGATGGAAAATAAGATAGAGGACAATACAATTTTCTTGCTGATGATGATTTCTTAAACACTAGAAGTAGGAGAATCTTTCTGTGATTATACACTATTATTCAAACAATAACATGTAATATATGAAAAATAAAACCTTAACCCTCATATTTACTTGGACATCTGTAGATGATAATACACTACTATCTTATCGAAGTGGAAGCAGTATCCCAAGGCCCAGTGAGTTCAGCTACCGCAAATTCAACCACTTTATAGTTTTGTTGAATAGTAGATACTCCATATGGCATTATAATCACTTCCAACTCTGTTGCAACTTCTTTCATTGTAGGCCTATTTCTCTAATTCAAGTTCAAGCATCTTTTTACAAGATTAGAGACGCACATGATCTCTTCTTTCCCAACTTCTTTCACAACTCGTACATCAAGAATATCAAACACACGATTCTCCTCCATTGTCACTATGAAATATGTTGTTAAACTTCGCCATTCTCTTCAGGTCCGGTTGATGAAATCAGTTTTTGTCCTGTTAAAAGCTCAACAAGAACTACTTCAAAGCTATAAACATCGCTTTTCTCTGTAAACTGGATTGATTGGAAGTACCTAGGATCCATGCATCTAAAAGTCCCCTGTACTTTTATGGTCAAGTGAGTTTGATCAACTGCAATTGATCTTGAAGTCCCAAAGTCAGACACTTTTGCTCTATATTTATCATCCAACAATATGTTTGTGGACTTGATGTTTTAATGATAAATGGGTATGGAAGCTGTTGAGTGTAGATACGAAAGAGCTCCTGCAACTTCTATAGCAATCCGAATACGAATGCCCCAGGAAAAAGGGAACTCTTCATTTTGGTCATGGATATACTTGGACATTATTTAAGTAATGTTTAGCATTACCTTATTGTCAGTTGTGTTAAAGTCTTACCAGAAATTAATGTTTAATGGATGACATTGAGTTATTGGCATCAATGTTCTGGCTTTTTCGTGCTATCATTTATAATTCCTCACTGATAGGGCCCTTCAAACTTGGAAAAGTTTTAGCTGCATTTAAAGTTTTGATTAACGTTATTTTATAGTGTCCTAATGAGGAAAAATAAGGATTGTAATACATGAAGGCACAACCATGAGAGTTGTACAAGTCAAGCTAATATAAAACTAAACCAAGGGCAAGAAAAACTAACTTAGTTGTTGCATAAAGCTACAAAGGAAAAAGATATTATGCTAAAAGGTAAAAAGCAAAAATGTTCATTTGGTGTTGGGAGATCTTCCATCCACGAGTTTCTTCAGTTTACATAGCCTTTGAGATGTTCGGAAGTTAAATAGGTACGGAAGCTGCCGAGTTTAGATACGAAAGAGCTTCTACAACATCTATTGCAATCCGAACACGAATGCCCTAGAAATAAGGGAACTCTTCATTTTGGTCATGGATATATATATTGGAAAAGGGTTTCATTATGTATGAATTCATATACAACACAAGGAATTAATATATTGAGTCTAGCGAAGGCTAACATCTTTATCTATCCAAGTGGCCCAATTCTAATTTTTCCGTCCCAAAATAAGTATCCATTTTTTCATTTTTATCCGTCCCAAAATAAGTGTCTCATTTAAAAAGTCAATGTACTACTAATATTTTTATTTTTGAGTGATGATAAGGAGCATGACATTGGGACACATCCCACTATATTTATGTGAGTATATGATGACATCATGATGTTATCATTATCATATTTAATGACATCATGGACATCATCATGATGTCATCACCCACTCACATAAATGAGTTGGAAGGTGTAGGTGCAATTTTTCATACCCGAACACTTAAAGAAATAAATCAAAGAGATTATGAACAATATGAAAGAGACAATGGACAATTTTGGCAAGAGAGAACAATATAATTGGAATTCGATGTCTTTCTCTCGTTATTCATGCTTTACTTATAAGCTTGTAAAGAGAATTACATGGAGCCGTTACTAGCAGTTTTTTATGAACGTGGGCGTTTATGGCTCCTGAACTTGCGGCCCTCTCTTTTATGGTGGGCGTTATAGAAATTTGGATTTTGCCGTCCTTGGGCTATTCCCTGGTTCGTTTTTGATCAAGTGGAGCGTTCTTCGTTAATTAGGCTGACTTGACTTTCTCGTGGACCTTTTTTATTGGGCTTATAGCCTGTGCTAGGCTTTAGGATGATTTTGGCTAATAATGGGCTGTACGCTTATTGATACGTGACGTATTGTGATTGGTGGGGAATTTTCCCTCCACACTTTGCCCCTAATTCTTTTTATGAATTGAATTCATATATGGAATTGTAATTGCTTTCAGGAAGTGGAGAAGTTTTTGCGTCTAATACTGCCTATCATTACCATTTGTGCTCCCAATTTTTGGGGTCTCGTGCTTGTTTCTTCGTTTTTCACTTCACTTTGCTTCTATATTATGTTCTTATCATTCGGGTGTTCGTATCTGTGATCCCGTTTCTGAGTTTAAGTAAGAATCTGATCGCTGCTGC